GCGCCGAGCCCCCCGAGCCCGGCGTGGCGCTCAACAAGTGGGTGTCCACCCCGGGGCGGCCGGGCGTGGGGAGGGCGCGGGGGGCGGGCCGCGCCGGGTCTGCGCGCACAGGAGGCCGCCAGCCTCCGTCAGGGTGCGGACCGGAAGGTCCCGTGCAGAGGCCAAAGTCAGTCTGGGTGCACATGCGGACCCCTGGTGAGGAGGCCGCCAGCCTGGCTGTGACTGGTATCTGCGTGGCCGGGTCTGGGTAGAGACCAGGCGATCTGGTGCAAAGCCAGCGCCACCGCAGCTTGCGTTTTAGTAGGGATTGGGCCCAACTGGGTCAGGGCGCAGGTAAAGTCAGCCGCTAGAAAGCCCCCACCTCCTCCCGGCTGGCATCGTAACAGGGGGCCGGCTTCCGCGGGCCTGAGGCCGACTTGCAAGGTTCTATGCCCTGTGCAGGTGCCGGTGAGCAAGCACTTGGGAATACTGAGTACACACCCCAGAGCGTGGGCTTCTGTGGTCAGCAGTGTCTGCACGCGGAAGGGCTAAGTTCCAGTTGAGATCGGTGTGCCAGTGCTTCTGAGCACCGAATTACCCGCCTGCGTGTCAGGAGAGGTGTGTTTCCCCCATGTTGACCCAGGTTAGCGGTGTCTTCACTGCGCGCACGGACGCAGCTTTGTGGAAGGAAAGCGTCTTGTCCTGAGGCTTTGACCCTGAGGCTTTTCCTGCAGCCAGCCCGTCAGTCCTGCCCCAGGGGCGACTCCTGGAGAGGAGCGGCCCGTGTGCTGCAGCGGCTCCTCGGCTTTCTGTCCGTCCCTAGCCAGTGGCGGTCCCCACTTCGCCCTCAGTCATCAGAGTTTGGAGAATGGCCAAAAAAACAGAGCAAGAGAGATTGTCAGTGACACACAGCCTCCCGATCCTCCGTGAGGAAGAAGCTTGAGCTTGTGCGCCGCAGCACCAGTCGGTGATTGTTCGCCAGAGGTTTCCGTGATGAGGGGCATTCGTTCACCCTAACAGACTTGCGCGTTCTAGAAAAGGCGATTGTACCGCTTCGGGACATTTCCCGCAACACACTCTTCACACGTTTTTTTTGTCTCGGCAGTTTGGTCACTCTTATCCGACATCCTTCCGAATTAATGAACGTCCCTCTTCATCAGCAACAAAACAAATGCACGACGTTAGTGAAAAATAAAACTGCCACCGCGGCCACGGCCCTGCAGTTCACGTACCCCGTGTTCACGGCCAACGCCTGCTCGGCCAACGCCGGCTCGAACCCGTCACAGGTGCAGGTAAGGGGACAGTTGGTCCCGCTTTGCTCTTTTGTTTTGTAGCAAATGGATTTGAGTTGAGTTCATTCGGTCTGAAGGATTTTTCTTTCGCCGAGCTTAATAATCCTTAACATCGAGAGTGTTTATGCGGTCGGGGAATGTCTTAAAATCCTCCATGTAGCGCATGATGTCTTTGACGTGATTCCTGTGGAAGTGCATGTGCTTTGTGTGGAATCGAGGGGACCGACTGGGTCTCATGCTGATAAAGTTCCTGTGGCTTCGTTTTTCCAGAGCTCTAGTAACCCATGTTCTATACTCGAAGCTGCCAAGCATCAGGATTTTGGATTGCCTAGAGCATTTTCTTTCTGTTACCAGCAGGAAGTTGAATCCACTAAACAGACTTTGGGCGGTAGAAACAAAGCTTTGCCTGAGCAGGTTTGGATTAAAGTAGGAGGTAAGCCACAAAGGGGAGCGGGCGCTGCCCTGATGTCATTCTGGTGGGGGGGAAGGGAGGGGAACGGGGGGGGGTGGGGGGGTGGGGAGGAGGTTTGTAAACATGAGATGGTCTTGGAAGTGTACTTCCACATGGGGCACTTTTCTTCACTTTGAACTTTCTTTCGAATTCCAAACATATTTATACTTAGTGTGGAAACATTGAGTTTGGAGGCTCCTCTTTCTTGCTAGTGATCTCCGTGAACGGAAGAATGACGGACTTCCGTAAACTTACCGTTTCCTGCAAGTTGCTGAAAGCATTTAATAGTGTTGTTTTTGTTTTTTTCTTATTTTATATTTCACGAGTGAGCCAGGAGTCTGAAACCTGATAAAAGCTTTAGGAGACAATCTGCAGATGAGCAGAGGATTGAGTTGGGAACAAGAGGCCATAAGGTGATTCAGAAGGGTTTAGAAATAAACTGCTGAAGGCAAACCTTGCTCATCTTGAGAGTGAGCTCGCAATCCCTTTCTCCCTGGGAGCCAACTATTTTTTGACTCACTGGACGAGATAACCCCAAGGTTTTCCAGAGCCGGCGAGGGCAGGAGCGACAGAGCCACCGAGGCAGCGGGCAGTTCTCGTGGTTCGGCGTCTCCGTGCAGAAGCGCGTGTTACCGTTTGCAGAGTTAAAGGTTGCTAGTCAGACCGTGTGCTAAGTTCTCAGCTTCAGGAACAAAGCATTCCCAGCACTGAGCTCCCCACCGGGTCCCCCGCTCTGAAAGATGTGGTGGTGACTCCTGTGCCACAGATTTATTTGGCTTTTGTTTGGCATCCTGGGAACGCACACCCCGCACGTGTTAGCTGGGGGCCTCCCGCTCTGCGTGTGATGAAATTTGCCGCGTTCCTCCAGCAGAAGTCAAAGCTAGGAGGTGGTCCCTCCTCGTGTGGGCAGAATCACTTGTGAGGTGAGGGCACATTTAACCATAGGCCACCTACGTTTTGTCTTCTGGGCACTGCAGTTAGAGTATCCGCTGTCACGTTAGAATAATCGCATAAAAGAAAATCTTCTGGAGAAAAAAAATCTTTTTTCATTCTGAACGTCAGAGAAGTTCAGTAACTTCTTGGTTTCTCCGTTGATAGGTGGTAGTTAACATCTGCTGATTAACAGGGGACTTTTGACAAGGTTGTATCGATTACATAATACTCGGAGTGTTCTCGTTTGGTTACAGATTTATGTTCAGGTTTGTGGTTTGAACCTTGGAGCTTTGTGTACAAGTTCCTGGAGTAGGTGCAGCTTTTCCTGTTGAGTCCTGTGTGTCCCTTGCTCGTGAATGTGTGTCTGGAGTTGAAAATGGCACCAAAGGTACTCAGCACTAATGGGAAGAAGTTAAGTAAAATAAAAAATTGAAATACACTTTTTTCTTCTTTTGCAAAGAAGAAGCGCTATGTAAGCAAGCAATAAATAAGAGGAATCGGAGTAGAATTCGTCAGCTGGACACAAACGTAGAGCGAAGAGCCCTTGGAGAGATTCAGAACGTGGGTGAAGCTTCCACCGCCGCACAGGGCACTTGGCCACCCGTGGAGTCCTCGCAGGCAAACCTCGGGGAGCAGAGCCAGAGCGGGCCGCAGGGAGGAAGGTCGCAGCGCAGGGAGAGGCATAACCGCATGGAAAGAGATAGAAGGTAACTCGTGTGGTTGTTCATCAACACGCAAGTTTATTCCAGTTATTAGCAGTAATAGGCAAGTTATTGATGAGACAGCGGTTTAGTTGATTCATAATGTGTTCAAAGTGGAAAGAGGTTGGCCAGAGTGAATATTGACTTTGTTTTGCTAGGGGGATCGGGGTCCCCAGGACCACCCCCCAGGTTTGATGGTTCTTTAGGACTTAGGGCTTTGATTTATTACAGAGAAAGGAACCTGCAAAATTACCAAAGGTGCTGGGTGGGGGATGGGCGTCCAGTGAGCTAGGTGCAGGCTCCCAGGTGTCCCCCCCCAGGGGACTCCCAGATGCACTCAGCAACCCCAGCACCAGCTGTGGCCAGCTGGGAAAGCTCCTGAGGGACTCAGGGCCCCGAGATTTTCTTGGCGGGCATGTCATGGAGGCATTCCTACCTGGCAAGCAGCCAATCCCAGGACCCCAGGAGAAGAGCCGGTGCACAGCATAAACCATGTTTACGCACATGTTGTGGGTGCAGAGAGCCCCTCCTAACTAAGGGTGCTGGGAACCCCTGGAATCTGAGTGTCCAGATGCCATCAGGGGCCCACCTTGTGAGTAGGCTGCTGGGAGATGGCCAGGGTGCACAATGGGGCACTTAGCTTTGCCTGGTTCTTTTAAGAATGTTGGGAAAGAAAGGGGTTAGAACTGTCGTTTTATCTGCAGGTTTTATTTAGAATCTGCAATATTTTTTTGAATATTTATTTTTGAGAGAGAGAGAGATTGACAGAGCATGAGCAGGGGAGGGGCAGAAAGAGGGAGACACAGAATCCGAAGCAGATTCCAGGCTCCGAGCTGTCAGCACAGAGCCTGATGCGGGGCTCAAACCCACGAACCATGAGATCATGACCTGAGCTGAAGTCAGATGCTTAAGTGACTGAGCCACCTAGGCGCCCTGAATCTGCAATTTTATGTAGAATCAAAAGGTGGCTAGTTTTTCTCTATTACAGTTGGATTTTTACCTGATGTTTCCCTAACATAATTAACATAGTCATTCATTGAGAACTTTGTACCAGTTTCCTTTTTATAGCATGCGGCAAGGCAGACGTTCAGCTACGAAGGGCGAATGTTGACCCAAGGCGACTTCTTTCCTTTTAAAAGGATATATTAGAGCTAGCTGGCCAGCTAGATCTCCTTCTTACACAGGTGCGCTCACACCCACTGGCACACACACACTCACAGACTCTACTTGAAGCACTGTGTCAGCAAGGACTTGTGAACCAGAAAGGACATTTTTCCTACTCTGATATTTATCACATAAACATTTATTTAACACCTACTATGTGAAAACCCTTCTACCGTATGCTGACAGCGAGAACTTAGATTTTTACTCTGCCTTTTCATAGTTTAACAGCCTGAAGAGGGATCACCTCTCATCTGAGTTTCTTACCTACAAAGCAGAGCTGGCTACCACACGGATTGGAGACAGGATGAAACATGTGTGTACGTCACACGTGTCTGCCTCTGTGTAGAAGTTAGCATCTCGTAAATGCCAGCTGTCACATTGACCTCATGAGATCGCTACGACAGATTCTGAGTGTATGCTTGGGAAGATGGGCAGCGAGGGTTGTATAAGCTGGTAATCGGGAAGAGCTAAAAAATGGTGTAAATCATGAGACCACTTGGGATGTAAACGATCTCTAAAAAATGAATGATCTCTCAAATGACTGGGATTCGGGGCATTAACAGACTGGTCGTGTGTGATCCTTTTGACCCGGGGTCCCTTGCCGATCATAGCTGCAACCCTGAGCTGTGGGTGAGCTCCTTGGCCCAAGGAGAGCTGTCCACCCAGAAAACCCCCCACAAAATTTTGCTTCGCGTTTCCGGGGCTTGGGTCCATGCTTGGTCTGGAGACTGGAAACTGGCCCTTGCTCCTGACCCATGAGAAGTCCGTGGAAACCCCTGCAGCAGGTTGGTCTTGTGGAGGAGGGCCACATGGTTGTGGCGGAGCGTGGTCCTGAGCACGCACTTGGTGGCTGGGCCACAAGCGACACATTCAGACATTTGCCTTACTGCTTGGTGTTGCTTTTGCTTCTCTGGGTGATCACTTTGGATTTTGACCGTAGGCGCAGAATCCGCATTTGTTGCGATGAATTGAATCTTCTAGTCCCGTTCTGCAATGCCGAGACAGATAAGGCAACCACGCTCCAGTGGACCACAGCGTTCCTGAAGTACATTCAGGAGAGACACGGAGATTCTCTTAAGAAGGTCAGTATTCGGAGCAGGTAGATTTTTAGAATTTTATAAACTTACCAGAGAGCTTACTTATCCTTTTTTCCCTGAGATATCCTGGACTGTTGTTCTTGCTGGAATCCAGGGTCAGGTACTGAGTTCACTGAGAACAGAACTCCGCTCATTAATGATGTAGCTCTTCGTGTATCGAGATGAGAAGCACGGCCGGGGTCCATTCACTGACATGCACGGTGTAAGTGACTGAGTATCGGTTGTCAGATCATAGATCGAGCGCCTGCTGTGTGCAGTGGATTGTATGGGGCTTGAAGGGGTATCAGAGACCTGGGAGATGTGGTCTTTTGTTACCCTCTGAAAACTTTGTGATGGGATGAAGCAAGAATAGTTAAGGGAGAGACAGACAGATACGTGTTAAATAGTCTGGAATTCACATGCACTCAGAAGGCGGAGAAGCGAGACTCTTCAGTGGGCTGCGTGACTGGGGACCACTTGGGGGCTTTGGAGCCCAAGCATCTGGCTCCTTGTTGCAGCCAGCGCTGCCTTGACCCTGTCTGTTCAGTCCCAGGGGCAATTGTAGCGAGCGAGCGTGGCTCCAGGTAGGACCGAACGCATGGTGTGAATGGGAGTCCAGCCGCCCCTTCCCTGGTGGTTCAGATGGAAGAACGGAGGCGTTCGCGGCTTTGGCTTCAGTGCTCTGCCTCCGGGGGACCTCGGCTGCAGGTACTGGCCTCAGAATGCTGGTGGTCAGGGGGAGTGGTGGCGAGGCCTCGGCGAAGCAAGCCCAGCGCCCCGGCCTTGCTCCTTGTCGAAGCCGTCGTGTGGTTGCTGCTGTGGGCTCAGCATCCGTTAGGCGCTGAGCTGAGGTTGGCGCAGAAACGTGGGAGCCTTTTAGAAAGAGCCTCTCGTGTCTAGATCCTGGAAGGGCCGGGAACCGCAGACGGTTTTCCGTTTCCCTTGTGTCTCCGCACGGCAAGGCTCCGTCCTTCCGTTGTACGTTGGCTGCGTTGTAGAGCAGCGTTTATGTCCCGTTTCTTCTAACTGGGTCACTTACAGTTGTTTATAATGCACTTACTCTTTGACATTATGTGTTGGAGATAGACTGTTAACTTTGATGAAATAAAGCTTTTATGTATTTTTTTTTATTATTTAATTCCAGTTAGCGAGCACACAGCGTGATATCAGTTTCAGGTGTACAACGTAGGGATTCGGCACTCCCACACGTCCCCCGGTGCTCATCACGACCTCCTTAGTCCCGATCACTTATTTCCCGTCTCCGACCCCGCTGGCGACCGTCGGTGTGATGTGATCTCTGTAGTTGAGAGTCTGGTTCTTGGTTTGTCTCTTTATTCCTTTGCCCATTTGTTTTGTTTCTTAAATTCACAGATGGTGATCTCACTACGGTATTTGTTTTCTCTAGAATGACATGTTTCCTCGTATCATAGTTCTATCCCGTTGTTGCCAGTGGCAAGATCTTACTCTCTTTGATGGCTGAGTACTACCATTGTGTGTGTGTGTGTGTGTGTGTGTGTGTGTGTGTGTGTGTGTGTATATACACATCTTTATCATTCGTCCAGTCAATGGACGTTTGGGCTCTTTCCATGGTTTGGCTAGCCGATAAGATTGCTATAAACATTGAGGTGAATTGCCTCTTGAATCAGCAGTCTTAGCCTTTGGACAAACCTGGGTGCTGATGGCTGGGTCGCGGGTACTTCTATTTGAGGAACCTCCACTGTTTTCCAGGCTACACGGTTTGCATCCCACCGGTTTGCAGTGCAAAAGGGTTCCTCTTTCTCGCGACTCCCTCACCAGCACCTGTTTCCTGAGTTGTGAATCTTAGCAGCTCGGACAGGTGTGAGTGGTGGTATCTCAATTAATGCGTTTTTTGGTCCCTTTTTTTCCT